AGAAAGAGGTTTATATATAAGAACAATTGAATATTGAGAAAATTGCCCAGCCCAGTCCAGATCAAGTCCATAAGTCCGATATTAGCCCATATGCCGACACCAATTTATAAAGCCCTCTTCAGACTCACGAAACACATGCAATGATGCCAAATGCAGGAAGATCACAGGCCAGAGGGTGGGAAGTCTTATGAATCCAGTGGCGTTGTAAGCATCTCAGCACTGGCAGGAGTCTCCATATGGCTTCCCCAGGTCCACGGTTCTGGCTGAATCAGGGTAGGTCCGTGTGGCTTCTCCTCAGGGATGCCTCACAGGGAGTCAGCCTTGTCAGGAGAGAGTCTCCAAGGGAGTGAGCCGACAGAGAGAGTCTCTCCCTCCTGCCTCCAGGGAGGAAATACAGGAGTTCCCAGAATTAGCAGAAGGCCATGCCCACACAGAAGCCTCATTGGTTCTATCTTGATTGACAGGCCAGGCTCTACCCCTTCACTAATAATCCTCTCAAATTGACAGCAGATTATGTAACTATCACAGGGTTGCTTGGTCAACGTTTGGACCTCCGTCTCAGGAATGCCAAACTGCTAGCTGGCCTGGAGCATCCATCCTCGAGGCCTGCTCAAAATCACTTTATCTTTGCCACCTCTCTGGCCTGCCCAACATCTGTCTCAAGACCCCTGGGACACGGCTGTCATCCACTTACCCCCTTCCTGTTTTCCTTTTCTGTCTTCTCTCTGTGCTACAGTCTTGGCTGTTTTCTTGGATTCCAGTTTCGTGCTTTCTCTCTCTGACACCAGCAAGTGGTTCAGGTCCTGGTTCTGTCTCTTCCGCTGGATGGGCTTCCTGTCCACTATCAAACTCCCCCGCCTTTTTTTTAGATGGATCCAATTCTATTCCTCTTATGTGTGTGCTGAACCAGGTGACTCATTTCTTCTTCTGTTTTTAAAAATCGTTTTATTAGGGGCTCCTACGACTCTTATCACAATCCATCTATACATCAGTTGTGTAAAGCACATTTGTACATTCATTGCCCTCATCATTCTCAAAACATTTGCTCTCCACTTAAGCCGCTGGCATCGGCTCTTCATTTTTTTCC